TTTAAAATGAATAAATTATGTTTTTGGTTATCGCATTGTATTTATTATAACCTTGCGGCTCACTCAAGATTATTTCTTAAGACCACTCGCTCAAAAAAATATTAGCACATTGTTAACCTATAATCAGTCATCACTATGTCCTTACCGTTCTTGGGGTGATCAGCCATTGTAATAACAAAAATAGGCAACCAATACATAAGTCATATGCAACCTTGTGGAACGCTGGAAATCGAAACGGATACCCCATTTACTGATTTACATAGTATCATAGCAGCCGCTCACTAAAGTATTGTGTTAAACTTACGGATACTTTATTTATTGTGAATGACCGGTAGGTACAATGTGTTTTTTTATTTAATTTTAACCGACATTAAATGACTGGGCGAATTGTTTTTATTATTTTTTTTAATGACACACATAATGCCTAGTTTGCACTCAGGAGGAAAACCCTACGTCGTCCTTCGGACAAACGTGTCAGGCCGCATAATCGCACCTATTAATTTACATATTTTTCTTTAACTACTCGCTACACGGTGTGTAATCGTTTGTAATTTTTTTTATATAGTAGGTACTATGTACAGCTGAAATAACGTTCGGAAGACGTGCGCTTGTCGTTAATCACCGTATATTGTCACCGCCTCAAAAAAAAAAAACTAGTCAACACACCAATATCATAACTAATGTGCAATACTAAATATTAATTGCTCTTAAATCAGATTGCAAATGCGACGAAGAGAAGAAGATAATGTTATTTTTTTTTATGAAAACCAACAGCGATGACGATGATTTGACACACCTAAAAAATCGTACACTTTAACAACGGCCGCTGCTCACATGCTAATTGATATTATTTTACAGCCAATTCCACACGTAGGTAGGCAGCTGATAGTGACAGTGCTGAGCGGTCATTGGTCAATCGAAACGAGAAGAACGTTAACGGTTAATAGACCGCTATAATAATAGTATAATATCTCTCTCTCTCTCTCTTTGGCGAACGCAAAGCATAATATCGCAAAAGTACTTTGGGAGTGGACTGAGGAGAGAGCGCTAACGGTCAATTTCGCAACTATTTCTAATATTAAAAAATATAAGGGTAAGAAAATTTGCTACATACTTACGTGGGAGATTTTGAAAAAAAAACTATTTAAACTTAAAGTAAAGAAATGACAGTTACTAAATTTAATCTGTATGAGTTTTTTTCCGCAAATGTGTTTTTTATAACAACTTTTAACTGCGTACTCAACTCATTTTTTGATAGTATAATAATGATATTATATTTTTTCAGGCGTCAGTCGTTAAAAACACATAAAAGGATTCGCAATTTCTATACGAACCCTTTCATTATTTTCTGCACTGATATTTTGCAACGGCTAGTACGTGCGAGCTTCTATTTTGCTCCAATAGCCTAGAAATAAAACCTATATATGTATAATAATAATAAAAATAATCCCGCTCAAAGGAAGTCACTAACCTACGGTGTCCGGCCGTGCGACGCCGACGGTCACGTAGATATAATATACCATCTGTGTGTAATATATAAGACTGCATATAAATATATATAATATATAGTAGTTAGTTTATATACAGAGCAAGATATTTGAGTATAGTGCAGTACACCTTTAGAAATTATATAGCTATATCCTATATATCTATATTACTGCCAAGGTCACCTAACCTAACGCGGTCGATACCATCAAGAAGACCGGTTTTCAGCTCTTTCCGTCTTCTACTAAAAAAACGAATCATGAATTTTTTTTTTTATTATTTGGTATTATTTGTCGGGCGAATGTCTCGAAAATATAACGAACAATTTATGTATGAATACAAAGCTCATAATTAATAATTTACCGATAGGTAGGTATAGCTTTGTTAAAAAAAAAATATATATATATATATATATAATACTAATAATATAGGTAGGTAATACATTATTATTGTTGGCGTTCTAAGAACTGTCGAACAACAAAAAAAAATCCTCATGAATCCTTAAGGCGAAAAAAAAAACATTATTGGCTATCGAAATAATATAATAATATATTATATCGTTATTTATTCCACGTCAATCTGAGACAAGCAACGGTTGACTTGAGTAAAAAAAAGAATTAGTATCTCCATATTTGTCACAGACAAGACAAGAGAATGGTCCAACGGGTTCGACAATAACCTTAATATGCGGTTTGTGCTTTGATCACGTTTTGACACTACAATGAACACATATTTTTACATGTATAAATATGAAATTATATTAATATATTTTTTGTTCCTTCCAAATTCTTGATTCATAATTTGGTTTATTTTTGCTTAAATAAATCAATTGCCATTCGATGAACAACATAAAAAGAACTATAAAGAATAATATTAACGATTTACAATTGCAAATATTTTTCACCACTAACCAATAGTAAGATCAGCAATATGTTTTAAGTTCTCCCAATAAACGGTGTCGGTTAACATGGTATTTATTAGGAATTTGTGTCCAGCGTTCATTTTCAGAAGTAGGTACTGAATTGAATTTGTCCAACGTCGTAAAAAATGTTGATATTATCTTAAAAAGAACATTGACCTCGATTATGAAAAACATATATTTAGACAATTTACTTTATTTAGCTAAGAAAATGTTTTATACTTTTTCTCATGATTTTAAGAACAACGCTTAAACATGAAACATTTACAAATATTTAAGTACCTACATAAAAAGAAACATCCCAAAAAAGTGGCCATCTGTTTTAAAGATTTTAACGTTATTGTTAAATAAGAAATCATTAGTAAATTATTGGACTTATTTTAATACTCTGGTGTCTTAAGTGTATCATTTAAAAAGTTAATGGTTATTCGACATTGACGGAAAAAATAAGCATATATTATTCAATATGTTGCATTGATGATTGAAGTAACCGAATCGTTTGTGATTTTATTATTTCTGTTCGAAAAAAAATAACATAATTAATACAAAATATGAGTTATTCAGAAACACAATTAGTGCAATCTTAAAAAAAAATCAGTTATTATTTTAATTATTATTGAATACATTAAAAAATATAAGCATTTCCCGTTTCCGTCTTGTATAATAACATTAGTATGTAGAAAAAAAATATACAGTTGGTTTTAGTTAATTTTCGTTAATATAGGGATACAATAAATGTATATGTGGAGTAAAGAATAAATAGTTACTTTAACTAAACATTTAAACTATAAACTGATTGTGTAGAACAACCACCTATATCTATTTAATCATAATTTTGAACAATTTAATAATTATTACTTATTATGTATGTATGAATAAGTTAAGTCTATACAATATATTTCTCCCTTGTCTCTTCTCCCAGTCCTCAACCTATACTCAACAGTGTCGCAATTTTGCATCTTCTACACTTTACTATCCTTGTATCACATTATTACATTTATCTAACAATCTCTTTTTTGGCCTTACTCTCTACCTTTCCGAGCCACCATTACCTTTTATCTAATCTCTCCATAAATTACGCCAAATCACCTATAATATGTTCTCTTAAATATGGTTAATAATAAGCACAACACTTAATCTCATTTCATACAAATAAAAATTGAAATAGAAAAAAAATTAATTTTTTTTTTAGATTTTGTAGTATATTACTTTAAACCCTTACAATATTAACCTTATTAATTTTTTAATGGAAACATGTAATTTTTTGTTGACAAAATAGCCGAAGGGATAAAATATATGAAATAAAATAAAAAGTTCACCGTTCACGGATGATATAGAATAAGATATCCTTCTTAAGATATACCCTTCTTCTCTTCAACCGCTGTTGGGATCTATCGTTATTGCAGGTAAAATGTTTGTGGTATTGCGCCGCAATAATTGCGGTTATATCTTAACCCACATTCCTGCAATATACACCCTACATTCTACTCCTAAGTATAATATTCTCCTATTGATATTTAATAGTTATAATAACCGGAATGGGACTTATTCGCCCAGTTACAGCATAAATATAGTACATTGAATAAGATTTGTTTTATCTATTATTATCTTGATTGAATTTTAGTGTCTATTATAACTTACACGAGTGAAATTAATATTGGTCTTTTCTTTTGGTTTTTAACTCAACAGTCATTATTACATACCAACTATCATTTATAATACTGGAAAAGCCAATAATTAAAAAAAAAATTTCTAAAAATGCGATTCAAATTTAAATGATAATATTTTTATGATAATTGATATTGTAACAAATAAGAATAAAAACTTTAACTGGCAAAAACTATAATCTACCTATAATAATTTAAGTTTTTTTTAATCAAATACCTATAATAGAAATTCATAATAATGTACAAGAAGAAGTCTAGCGGTGACTGTTTATGAATACGGGTTTAGTTTTTATTTATACCATTCCAATAAAATAGCACTTTCATGTTGTGTAAACCGCCAAAAGAAATATTCGGACTATTGAAAATTTGTATGTTGTATGTTTAATATACATAGAGTATTACTATGTATTACACTATAGTATAATAAATAATATGAGATTTAGAAGTAGGTAGGTAATTCGGTGGTATACGGTTCTTATTTTCTTTATTACAAGATAATACTATGGCTAAAGCCTTCGCTCATTCTTCACTGGGTTAACACGACAGAACAGAGATTTTTTAACGGCTGTTGTTTTGTTTGTTGATGCCTTTAGAACACCTTTTTTTTATTAATGGTATATTATCTAAACGTTTTTTTGAAAAAGTATTTTTACATTGAGCTATGTATTATACTACTTATGAATTATGAATAATGGTATTTTCAATGCAAAATTGTATATTTAATAAAATAACGTATTGTTAGGCTTATGTAACAATTCATTTAAAAAAAAAAAGAAATACCAATACCTTTTTGAGCTCTGCATTGAAGCTACAAATAAAAGTCTATGTCAAAATTGAAAACAAATTATAAATAATGATATTTTAATCAAATGTCTTTTAAGTTGTTGTAACAATTATGTATCGGTGTAATATTGTTGTGTTTTGTTTAGATGCAAACTATATTCTATCACAATTCAAGCGGTCGCGAAGCATTTACCGGCAATTTGAAGCAAAAGGAAGTTCACCGTGCAATAACGCTTCATCCCATCAAACAACACAGTCACATGTACAGAATACACAACTATATGAAAGTGTGTAACGATCATGTTATATATAGCATTTCATTGTGAGCACTTAAACATAACATGAAAAATAACATTTAAATGTTTGATTTTACAGGGACTGAAATTGCAAGATATACAGCAGAAAAAGATTTTATTGCATAGAGACATCCGTGCCATGATCGAACAGCTGAGTAGACACCAACCTCAACGTCAGCCGTCCAACGAGTTCATGTTGACTAATAACTCGAAGCTGTTCAATGCCAAACCGGGAAGTCCTAACTACTTGGGCGATCCGGATCTATTAGGTAGGTATAGATCCAGTGGGACAACTCTCTGTGAAGTGCTCTATTGGCCCTCTTTCATAATATGTCATGCTTTTGGTTGTCATTCGCCCGTTTCACAGGTTGGCCTCCGGGACTGAACAAGTTTAGACCGCGTAGAATAGTAGACGTTATCAAGTGGGACTTCATTTCGAAATCGTGGTTTTCGGACACGGATTCAAACCCGCGACGGAGGATCGAGTCGTACGCAAAGGAAGGTCTGGATGACGTAGTGCGAGAGGTAAGCGAACGATGCGGCCTTTTTGAAAACGAACGTACCTAACCAACCGGTGTTGCTTTTACACTCTTAGGTCATGGACATAATCAACAAGTTTTCCAAACAGAGGGGTAGAGTGATCGAATTCAAGGAGATCTTCTACGGCTATCATCGGGTCAATCCATTGTACGGGGTCGATTACGTTCTGGACATGCTTTTGATGTACAAAAAATACAGAGGAAAAAAGATGACAGTACCCGTGAGGAGACACGCCTACCTCCAGCAGCAGTTTACGAGTAAATACCACACTTATTAATAATCTGAATTGGACGCGTGTAGAGACCAGACGACAAACGGGGCCTTGGTCTCCCCTCGTCATCTTATACCGTCACATTATAGCTTTAATCCATTTTTGTGATTCCTCACTCCCCCTTCTCCCAAAATAGCTATGACTCGTATGAAATAAATTATACTGAAATATGCCTTCCCCTTAAATCCCCGACAGTAGATATTATAACTTGAATGTGCTTCATGGCTATACTATACAGAATGCATGTTTACAATTTTTTGGAAATAAAGCAAATAATAGTATAGAGAAAAAATATAGACGAATTTAAAAATAAATTATGTTTTATAGTTAGGCTATAAATATGTCTTAAAGCACAGTCTGTAATACTCATGCCGATACAATGCCTAGCCTAACCCGAGTTCTTGGACTGAGCTTTAAAATCAAATGTCATAAACACTTGCCTAGAGTGCCTATTTCGAAATTAACTGTATCACTGACTGTGTTGCTTACACATTGTCGTTTATTATTATAGATTTCGAGATACGGGAAGTAATGGACGGCGTTGAAATAAAGCAAAAGCTGCAAGAGGAAAGTGTGTACGAAATGGGCAACGAAGAAAGTGCAGTGCCGGTCAAAGATATTTTAGACAACGGTCTGTTGGGCGTCGACGGCCAGCCGGTGGAGAACATGAAGCACTCCTTGGACCAGGTGCGGTTGAAGACCGTCAACTTCGTCTTGCCGTTGTTCAACCGCAACTCGACGTTCGTCCGGTTCATGGACAACTACGAGTCCGTTTGTTTGGCCAACGACGAGCGCGTGACCCTCACCATAGTGCCGTTCGGGCAGGCCACGTTGAACCAGGCCTTGGCCGCGGTGGACGCCACAAAGGCCAAGTACCCGACTGCCCGGGTGAAAGTGTTGCCCGACCTCGAGGACTCGTTCGCGCGGGCGCTGGCTCTGGATTTGGGCTCCAGTCGGATTGGGCCGCCCGAAGACCTGCTGTTCTTCGTCGACGTCGACATGCTCTGGACGAACGCCATGCTCAACAGGATACGGTTGAACACCGTCCGCAATCGGTCCGTGTACTTCCCCATCGTGTACAGCGAGTTCGACCCGGTTGTCGTGTACGGCCAGTCTGTGTCCCCCAATCACTTCCTCATCAACCAGGACAGCGGTTACTGGAGACAATACGGCTACGGTATAGTCAGCGTGTACAAGTCCGACTTGGTATCTGTCGGCAACTTCGACACTTCCATTCGCGGCTGGGGCAAAGAAGACGTGGACTTGTTCGAGAAGTTCGTCAAGCGAAATCCCGACATAATCATGCGAGTGGCCGACCCGGATCTGGTGCACGTGTTCCACGCGGTCGAATGCGATTCCAAGTTGTCCCAACAACAAGCTCAAATGTGCAAAAACACCCGTTTTGAGACTTACGGCAACGTCGACCAACTGGCCAATACCATTTACAAAAACAAAGATAAATTCCATCGTTTCGTCAACGAACAGATCAACAAGTCAATAAAAGCTGTGCCAATTAGATGACATAATACACTATAGTTACTACCTTAAATCTGTACTAAGTTAAAATGTTTAGAACTATAATAATCATTATTGCCGTGATAATAATATAATATGAGGAAGTTGATGACGTTATTTTTTTATACCTTTGGTTATCTACTTATATTTATTTTAATTGTTAAATTTTAAAATTGTAAATAAAATAGTTAAAGGATAATGATCTCAAGTCGATCAACATATTAAGCCAAGCGTATAAAATGTAACTTGTTCCATGTGTTAGACTTAATATTGTTATTCAATGAACTTTTATTGTGACTGATATATTTATATCTAAAAATATTAATAATAATAAAATAAAGATATATAGGTGTAAAAATGTGTATGACATTATATTTATTTTTATAAAATGGTATTATTTCTTATAAAAACAGTACATAACCACAAATGTTTATTATCAAAGTAATCAAAATTAAAATAATTATTATTATATAGATAAAAATAACAGTTTTACAACAATACTATTTTATTAGGACCATTACAAAATTAAAAGAACATTTTAAAAGCTTGTTGAAATACTCAGTACTTTTAACTCAAATTTACATATGTTTGTATGGCGTTTAACTGGCGATACCATTCACGATACCAATCGTTTAAGGCGTTGTGGTTAACTAATTGTTGATGGTTGTTTTCATTTTCCCTAACCGGTTTTTGTGGTTTATAATACTCATTTCTCGTGTTATCTTTTGTTGACTTTTTTACTGGTTTTACATACTCAACATAATTGTTTTCGTCTGTTTCAATTTGGCTTTCATCTTCTGTCTCATCTTCTGTACAGCAATTGGTTTCAACTTCATCATCATAATTGCTATTTTCATCTTCTTCTGACTGAATTGCTTCTTCAGAAGAACTATCAACATCGTTGTCTTCTTCTTCTTCTTCTTCAATATCCACCCATTCTTCTTCCTCTTCATCACAATATTCCTCTTCATTGTAAAACTTATTGTATTGTATTTCAATTTCATCAGCTACAGTAGGATTGTCGTCATTTTCCTCAGTTAACTGTTCAGTCCGAGTAGGCTTTAGGAGACTTATGTCTGGTATTTGAAATAAATCAAATATATTTGTAAATTTTAATTTTTGAGGTGAAGTTTGGCTAGCATTTTTGGCGTCTTTAGCACACGACGTACTAGAAATATCATTTGAATTTTCTTGTTGACTAGAATCTTCTTTTACACATTCAACTTGTACTGTTGCTTCATTTGTATTTATTAGTTTTCTAGAGGCTTCGTACTTCGAAATATCAGAATCATAATTGTTGAAAATATCTACCAACTCTTCTGCACTATATTTCATGTACTGATCCGAATCATCGAGAAGAGATTCCGGGTCAAACAATACAAACGACCGGTCAGCAGTCAAATGTTTTTTATTAACAAGATTATTATCAATGAGTTGTTTTTCTTTGTCGTTGACAGCTTCACGAAGTTTTACCAGTGATTCCTTCTCCGACATATCCGGTCCGTAAATAGACTGCGACTCATTTATCGGTATCGTCTCGATTGGAACCATTAACTGGTTATTTTGAGTAAGTGAACTATCACTGTCGCTTATTTCAGGTTCGCCTAAAAAAGTAAATTTAGATAAAATAGTTTTTAAAGAAAAAGACATAAATTTATGATTTTACTTTGTTCATTTTGTTCTAGATCATCTTCGTCATCTGTGATTTTCCCGTTTTCAACACCGTTTGAAGATTCTAATCCAGTTTTCAAATTAAGTTCTTCGAGCTCATCCTCTTCATAGTCAAGAATAGGTTTTTTAATTGCGATTGGTAACAATTTAATACTTACGTTTTCTATACTGTTGATGATTTTCTTAAACGATATCAATTCTTTATCGTCGTCTAGTATCGTCACAGCATACCCTACAAAAAGAAAACATATTTTACTTAGAAATTAAATAAATATCTCACCAATTGCATATTAAAATGTACCTATTTACCTCTATTTCCAAAACGTCCGGCCCTGCCAATCCTGTGTAAATATGTGGCCGAATCATGTGGGCAATCCATGTTGATTATTAAGTCTACGTTAGAAGAATCTATTCCTCTAGCTATTAAATCTGTAGCTACCAGGATTTTGGATTTAAACGATGTAAGCCTGTCGACTAACTTCAAACGAATTTTCTGATCCTGATCACCTCTAATGTAATCGGCCTTATAGTCATTGTCGCGTAACATATTGCAAACAGCTTCGACTCTACAATATAATTCATAAAATATTTATTTCTCAGTAAATATTTAAATAAATTTAATATTAGCTAAGTTAGCACACAAACAATACGATACCTCGTCATGTAGTTTGTAAATATGATACATTGTGTGTGCGGTAAATTACGCAAAATATTAAGAAGACGTAGATTCTTCGCTGGCAATAATATTATATTAGTACTGACTGATTTGACACAAGCCACATATTGCTTAATACCTAATAGGAACTTTGTTGGATCTTGGGATAAATTTGTGTTTTCTTCTGTATCCTTAACTACAGAGTATTCTTCCATAAATTCATCAAAAAGTGACACATGACTCTTATCGATCGATGCACTTACGACTATAGTTTGCTTTAATTTTGGCAGTTTTGCATTAATTGATCTAAAAAAAAAAAAAATGCACAAAACAATAAGGAAAAATTTAATTAGTCAACTTTTACGCAAGTACTAGTTCTTACCGTACGTCTTTCGTAAAGTTTTTATCACTTAACATTCTATCGACTTCATCAAGTATAAAGCTTTTTACATTGGAACCTATCAACACATGTTGTGTCAATAAATGTTTGATGCGCCCCGGTGAACCGACTGCTATCTGACAACCAATCGCTTTTTGTTTATCTTCGTCAACTGACGTTCCACCAATAAAGTACTCGCATTTTAAATCTATACATGATAGAAAAAAATAAATATTAATAACATCTTAAAATATAAGACAAGTATAATTATTGATAACTTATTTATCGGCAATATATTTTTACTTCTATTTACTATGCTTATATGAATCATATTGAAATACTTAAAAAAAGTTACGAAACATATTACTACGATTTTTGTTAAAAAAATGTTAACTATTTTTTAACTAGTATTGAAAAATAATAATTTGTGAAAACTTCAACAGCTTCATAGACACATAGTGATTGTTTTAATAATGGTGTAATGAAAAATAACTCTGTAAATAAAAATAAACTGAATAAAAATGCATCAGTTATTTTCAAGTTGCTAATTATTAGAATTTCCTTTTTTATGATAATTTGTTGTTGGAAATTTATTGGATGTTTTTGTGAGTTCTATTTTTGTATAGGTACTGAACTATTTGTGTTTTTATGCTAATTTTGAATGTAAAATTTGTAAACTCCACTGCTTTAAGATAATAAAATTTAAATTTAGGTGTACATCATAGATCAAATATATTTTGGCCGGGACAGCAATAAAACAGAAAACAGATTTTGATACGTGCAAATAGTTTTCTCTTCCCTTCCTAATCATATTTTTAAGATAATATGTTAGTATACTTTTATAATCAAAATAATAGTCATCGACAAAGTGTTTTGAACAAGTGGAGATCACAAATTGTGGATCTCTATTTTAAAATTGGCGTAAAAAAACACAATAATTTAGTAAAACCATAAGGATAACCGCTACAGTAAGTTTGTTTGACAAAAGCATTTCATTAATTAACTATATCATATATGGTAGGTAATAATTTATATATTTTACCAGACATATATTGACCAACTTTTTTGAAACATTGTTGTATTTGAACAGCAATTTCTCGTGTTGGTGCTAAGACAATACTCTGCAAGTGATTATTTTCTGTTTTTAATTTTTTCAATACGGGTATGACGAATGTAAGCGTTTTTCCTGTACCATTTTTTGCTTCAACGATTGTATCTGAATAAAAACAAAACATTTTCTAGTAACTTCTATTGAAATTGGTAATGGATATATAATTCAAAGTTTGTAATCACCACTTCCAGCAATTATCGTAGGCAAAGCAGACACCTGAATAGGAGATGCGTGTACGAATCCATTGTCGGTTAAGCCTTTTAACAATTCTGGATTGTCACAAATAATTGTACTGAATGGCGTTTGATTACTTGTCTGCACGTCGGTGGTCCGGTCTGTATTCTTAGAATATTCGGACGCCGGCATTTTGTAACAGCTTTTACTTAATAATAATATATTATCTGAGATCTAAACCACATTTATTACAATATTGTTATTATTATTCTTTAGTGCATTATATAAATATAATTTGAAATACACAATATTTTACCGTACCGCTTATCAGCATCGCATTAATGATAACAGTTATCACTTATCAGTAATCCCAAAACATATTATTTGATCGAGAAACGTATCATCAGTTTTTAATAATGATAAAATATTTATCATTTTTAAACTTTTTAAAGCGGGAAAATAACCAAACGAGCACGTTCGGTACTGCAATATTTGTAGGTAGCCAAAAATTCTGTAAGATATTTTTTGATCTTAGTTTAGTTTTGAAAAATAGCAATACAATAAGTAGTGTAATTTTCTTATCAAAAAAATAACCGATAACTTTTACAAAGTTTTTTTAAAGGTTAAATTAGACGGTACTAATACATTAAATAAGTTTATTTTTTAAATATCAACTCATATCAATTATGTCCTCCTTTTTTAAATCATCTCAATACCATAGAAAAATGTAAAATATGTAAAATTAACCTAATATTTTATATATATGTACTTAACATTAATATTTTGTGTAGTTACACATCATTGTATAGTGTACACATCAGTTTTCAGTATTGTTAGATAACCAAGCAACGCATTTTATGTAAGAAAATAAAAGACCAGAGTAAAATGTTTAATGTTAAATATTGCCCAAACCTTAGGACCTAATATTATTAAGCTCACGTTTAAAGGTGTTTTTGTTAGCAGTGGAGATTATCTATTATTATTATTACTACAACTGCATTAATTATACTGATTATAATAATAAATAACAACTACAACAAAAAACAACAGTTTTATTATTTTATTTAATTGGTAGATAATCCAAAATCGGTACATGACAGAATAATTAATATCGTATGTGTTTGTATAAATCTTGTGTGTCAAGTTTTAACTTTCCACAATAAATACATTATAAAGACACACGTTATCCTCCACATTATAGGTACTGTATATTGTAGGTAGGTACATGAAATGAATCATGTCCCTGGCCATTAGTTAGATACTCGGAAGAGAATCTTTAAGGTATTATGATGTAATTTTAGTCACTAATCTGCACGATATCATTAAGGGAGAGAGTACATCGGACGCATCTTCAATGAGCAATTAAGGAGTCAAAATTGATGGCTTTCTTGAACAATAAAACACACAATATTATAGTATTATGTATAAAAATAGTTCCTAAATTATGAAAACTATTAAGGTCTTAGTTTTAAGTTTTAAAAGGTTTGTTTTAGGGCAAATGATATTATGTTTATACATTTTGAAGAGTCGAGTTTTTCTCTCTGAAACAATATTCTCTTGTCATATAAGTACGGAAATAGTGTCAACAACATTTACACTTTCCGTTTTCATTTTTCATGACTTAAGCGAAGGCATAGATAAATATTTAACTGTGAAGTAAACATTCTCGATTCTCGTTTTATTATGTTATCGCCTTGTTCTTTAATAAAATCGTTTTATTAAGTCACGATTGCAAATCGTGATCGTGAGCGTACTTCCGATTCAACTCTCTTCTCCAATTTTATATTTTCAAACACATAAGCGTATAAACGTTATTATGCATTCGTTAAAAGTAATAATTATTGTTTATCGATTTCAGATAATTGGTTTTAAACGTTAAATAATATATGAAAAAGTCTCCCTGGTTGTATCAAATAAACTTATAAACCTTTTATTATATAACTTTTATAACTGGAAGTCATAAATTCACTTTACAAAACGGATCAATATGAATTTGTAGTTTGTAAAAAGCATTAAATATTATTATAAATTTCTACACTAGTAGGCAAAAAATATATTTACATACAAAATTAAGCCGACAAGTATAATTTAATTTTTAAAAATATATGTATATATTTATAATCGTACTATTAGACTTGTTTGTTATTCCTCGATAAAGAAATGCAATTCGTATTAATTATATTTATATAATTATGTTTTAATTTAACTGTATTCATCCATCAGTCCAATTTTTAAACTCTATAGAAAATATATTTACCCTTTCTAAAATGTTAGTTTCGACGTTGAGCTGAGAAGATATTTGTTACATTGAAGTTTTTTTAATCTATTTTATTATTTTGTGTGTGAACTCATGCTATCTTCTAAACAGCTGAATCGATTTTTATAATTAGCACGATAAAAATAGATCAGAAATCATGTACCTGATAGGTTCTTCAGTGGGATAACAATTTAAAAAGTTCACCCCTTTGCTCTCCAAAATCGAGAAAAACAACATAAAAATGTAAACATTTTTCATTTTAAAATTACACCATGCTATAGCTTTTTTTTAAATAGTCTAATTACTTCCAAACTTGTGTGAGTATTCTTTAGATATAATAATACCCAAATAAAGTGAAACTCCAAAAAGATATGATAATAAACCTTTTCCCCAAAAAAGGGTAGACGATTTTCCAGATAATGTAACTAATTTGTCATTGTCATCGTCATTTGTCACTCACGTTACGTTTCCAAATTAGATTTAGGTATAAATTTATCTATACAATCATATAAAAAGTAATCTAAAGCTAAATAAAAAAGTATATTTAGAATCGTTTATAATTATAACGAGTTGTATTTATTATGATTTATGGATGTATTGAAGTACTGCACACGGTTAGGTTAGGTTACCACTAGGCACTCTGTGGACTGTATGCAATAGAATAATGAAATTGTAAAATTAATACGGCCTTTATAGTACTGGCTATCGTATACCTTTATGTGTTGATCAAGAATACAGGCCAATATTAGTGAATGGATTCTAAAAAATGTATAAATATTGACATGTGCTATAGACCTAATATTTTTTACTCACGATTGTTATCGAAATTGTTTATTCTCGGAAAAATTGCCGGAAAAAAAATACATTATTAAATACTATTACCTAATCGAATAAATTGGATGTGAACTGACTTTTAAGCGTCTTATGTATTTTAAGATGATTCGATAAAAAACCCTACTAATTAGGCACTCGTGTACAGGACATTAAATTCGTAATAGTATATAAAACCACACACTAGCATGTACTCGATTTAACATTTTTTAGAGTCTTAACCAGCTTTTCTGTATAACCTACCAACGACCCGTGAAATGCATTGAATAACATAATATTAACAACCGAAATAGTTATAATTCATTGCAATACACGACGTTCAAAATCTTAATAGGTCGTTGGTTTTAATATCAAAATGTATATTAAAAATGTTTCAAAATACTCGATTCAATAGACACTAACAGCTAACTGCTGTCAAATAAATTAGTAAACATTACTCAACTGTGTCGTCTGTCGTCGCATCAAGTAAATAATTTAATTAGGTACCCATGTACCGTGTGTCTACATACTACATTTATATGAAGCCACTGCTAAAAAAATCTTCTGTCGTAAACGACCATGGGACCGAAACTTAAAGTAATTTAGAGATAAGAACAGTGACGCACTTGAAAGTCTTCAAGACTGTCGTTTTTCACCAGTTTCTGTGCGGTAGGTATGCCTTTAGGCTTTATCAAAATAATGTTTCGATGTGCGCCATTGCGGCTTGTCGTCTGATCCAGTCTAACTCAGAAGTCAGAACCGGTATTACCTTCGACCCCATAAATCGCATAGGTACTACCTAGATACTACCGTAAATCCCACCGCGGGTAATCTCGTGTACCTAATAAAGTAATATGTAATCCGTTATGAGGTTAATTTACTGGATTTGGAAAAAAATAAACATCAATAGATGGTAGTAAAAAAAAAGTTTTGGTCGTGCAGTCGACATTCCGGTATATTATTATGGATTTTTTTTTTTTATTAGAAAAACTCATAGATATGGTACTGAATAGGTACTTCGCAATCGACGCTGTTATGAAACGCGTGGATTTTGGTAATTTCTTTAATTATTATTGATAATTGCATTTGAAAAAAACGACAACAGTTGCAATGGCTGGTCAACAGCCAACACGGTGTCCGCCCCCATTGGGCTCGTACGCACTCGCCGGCGGTTATCTCCGTCCAATATAAGACAAAAAAATAAACGACTACTTTCTCTCTCGCACAAGAGACTTATACGTAACCGTGTATAGCGATGATCGGACGGTATGGTCGGCGTTCAGGATAACCGCGGGCCTAAAGACCACCGTTCGTAACAGTCCAAGATGACCCCTGAACCCCAGAAGCTGCCTCAAGACCGGCGGTGTGCGGTTGTTGCATCCAGACGTGGTCGTATCCCGAGGCTGTCGAGCATTTAATAATTTTTTATTATTATTATTATTATTATTATTAACCAAAGCCGCGACATTATCGCGTGCTGACCTCAGGAGTGTCATTACATCACGAGACATGACCGCATCAATAATTATAATATCAACGTCTGTATACACACTTAGGCGGCGTCTCCAAAAATCGATTTCCCGTCATTAAAATTTGTAATTTATTTTTAAGCGAAAGTATAAATGGAAAAAAAATATTATAAGCGAAAAAAAGAAGATGAATTGAAGTGGAATTTTATAGAAATTGTATTTATTTTTAAAAGTCATCTACCAAAGGTGGCATAAGAGCGAAAATATTTTATGCCACAAAGAGTGGAAGATATTATAAATATTACTTTTAAAAATTATAAGGCTAACATAAATGCCATTTTTTAGGGGTAAGATTTGGGGGTCGAAACCCTCCTGAAAATTTGGTCGAGTCACTAAGATATTATCAGAACAAGGAAATTTAAGTTCTAGATGGATAGAACTTAGAAATGGATATTAACCTATTTCTTAACTCTTTATTATTAACCTGAATAGATAGTGGAAAATATTAAGGAAGCTATATTCAACTACTAAACTTGGGTTGGTAACAGAATATTGTTAAACCCCTACTGTGATAAACACATTTTATAGAATATACCTAAGTATTTTGTAAGGAATACACATTTCAAAGATTCAAACATATCTATCATTGGTAGATACAGTGAAAACTCCTAATATGGCTTTATCGCCTTTAGGGAAACGCCCGTTCAAACCAATTGTTCGATTACCCAAGCCAATATGGTTAATTATACATTTTGCTTACGATATTGACATATT